CAACAAATTTTGTAAGAATTTGTCCGAAATGTGATGGGAGAGTTGTGAAAAACAAGCGCAAATATGAAAAAAATGGCACACATCTTCATTTTCTTCAAATATTCTTCCATCTCCAAAATGATTCTTGAGGAAATCTTAGCCCGATTGCAATCTTCGATTGATTTACCCGCAGATTTTCTCAAGAATTATTCATAACAAGATGAAACGTAACGCATACACGTGAGTTCCATCAGTGCCATTTTTTCATATTTGCGCTTATTTTTCACAACTTTCCCATCGCATTTCGGACAAATTCTTCTAACATTTTTTGTTCCTTAGATGGTACTCTTAAACGTCATGCATTAATTTTTCGTTTCCACGCGGTGCCAAAAAATGGCCACTTTTTGACATCCTCTTTTACATTTTCATAGCATATCGACAAGCGAATCGACAGAGACCCGAGAAGATAAGGACTGAAAATCTCATTCAGAGTCGTATGGAGTCTTAGCTTTGTCTCAATTCCAATCAAAAAATGTAAAATGCTGCGTGAAACAAAAATGGCCATTTTTTAACATTCTCCTTTCACATATAAGCGAAGTTACAACTTCTTCCAGCGACTATACCTGTCGAATTCGGTCTCGAATCGTCACGTACAAATCGTCTCGAAGCAATTTACATAATTCCACTTAATCAATGTCCTACAGCTGCAACAACCTTCTGTACCATCTTCGACCAGGCTTACCTCATTGCAATTTAAACAGACTCGGCGATTATTCTCGTTGCAGCGTTACGCATGGTTATCCGTGTTACCAACGTATTCATTGTTCTTGAACTTCTTGAACGCGGGAGAAAACCGAGTGAAAGTGGCAACACTCCGTAACAATGCTTATTCCTTGATTATGCGTGCGATCTGCAACGATCTTGAACGATCTTCAACAATCTACAATGATTTACTTCCATTATCATTCGCTCTACTTCGGTTTTCTTCCATTTTTATGAGGCGAATTAAGGATTCTGGTTTAATAACATAGTAGGTTTCCTATTCCTCGATTATACACAGAGGATTTTAATGATTTATTTATATCGTTGTTAGCCGACTGACGCCAGTTTAGAAAGAAATTGTGGAACGTTTATTCTTCAATTAAATCTGGCGATTGTTTCGAAGATACATGTGTCATTTAAGAAGATGTATAGCGATGTTGTAAGCTCGCTTAACTCTTCGAAGCACAGAATTTTAAGACAAAAACAGACTCTAGTTGCGAGGGAATTTTATTTTTTTTAAAATGTAACCAAATAGGTATGAATTACGACATAAAACAACTAAAACTTCAAAAAAAAAAAAAGTTGAGATAATTAATTATTAGGTCGGACATGAATAATCTCACCGTGAAATTTGTGGAAACAGGTTAAATTAGATTAGTTTTGTTTTCTTAATGTTTCAAGGTGGGATGGAAAACATCTCACTGTGCGTACGTAAGTACTAAAAAGGTGGGACACTTTTTACCCCACTGTGCCCCAAAGAGTTAAGCGTGTGAAAGAAGGAGAGTTAAGAAATGGCCATTTTTAGGAGATATTTATTCTCTCTATTAGATTCGTATTTTTCAATAGAGCAGTAAATCGTGAATTCCTCCAGTTCCGGGCGCCATTTTCAGGACGTTGCAGGTCGAGGCAGCGTTGACCTTTTGCAGGGCCAGAACGCGACGGGTTAATTGCTTCTTGCACGCAGCGCAAGGTTTCGTGCCGCGCCTAATGAAGCGGCGTTAAACCGCCTGAGACGTTGCGTTTTATTTCAAAATTGACGGTATACAAAATTGATTTTCTTAATAGAGATGTTCTGTGACATTCCCCCTTGGTTCCACTTACCATTTCACTTCGCTTCGCTTCGGTATTTTCGAGAAGTGACGAACGATTCCTTGAAAAATTCTCGAAGTCGACAACTTTCTTCTGGAAATTCTTTTGTATCTTGTAACGAACAGCGATCTCAAACGTTTAGTCAGCAGTGTATGTTCTTTGTTGTCTCTTCTTCGAGAAGATACGAGTTCGACATTACGGTTCGCGAAAAGAAGAAATGGAAATGTAGCTAAATTTTCTGCGGCAAAAATGTCCAATTTAGAAAATGTCCATTTAGAAATATTGTAAAGTTTTCTGTTCTTTTTTTAAAAAACATTTTTAAAATGGTCTTTTAAGCGACATCATTTTCCACGCTAAATGGAAGAAACTTCGTTGCATAAAATTACACGTTTATGTTCCAATTTTAAGTTTTTCCTTTTAAGCTTTGCGAGAAAGAAAGATAGTTTGTGTATTTCGAAATTTCCTCTTCTAATCACAGCTTGTACAAATGTTTAAAAAAGGATAACGATTTTCTTCTAATTTAAAAAGAAGCATACGAGACATTCTTTCGATTAAAATTTATTCATTCAGAACCACGGTGAAATGACGAATTCTTCGAATTAAAGAAACAAAGAACCTCTTTATCAGTTCACCCAAATTCCGTTATCATATCTTCGTTATGGCATTCCGCGAGTCCCGTGTATGCAAATACCGATGTGATGAAATGTTTGATTAAAACAACGCCGATTCCCGTAGAAAGAATATTGAATGACTAAACGATGATTCACCAGATATCAATGCACGATATCAGACAGATATTCCATTCAAAGAATTCACACGTTCCCGCGATACGAATTTATTTTTAGCATATGCAATTGTGAGTGACACTGTATTCCCTTGTTACTGTTGCCTGCGTGAGGATGTTACATGATAAGGCGCACTGCCTACGCTTCATTATATAACCAATTATAGCCCAAACATTATACTGATTGCCGCTACGAAGCGGTGGTATTAAGTGTTCGCATGTTCTCTTCCATGGGATAATGCATTTTTAAACTGTTGTATAATCACCTGTTCACTTAAAATTACCTTTCTTCCTTGAGCACTGTTTTTTGTGAAAATTGACATTAGGGTTATTTATCTTGCAACACGTGCCTTAGTATTTTAATTTTATTAATTTTATTAATTTTTACATTACACTCATGGTAATACAGAATCCTTGAATTAGCTTAAATTTAATCTGATCTCATGTATTCGGTATAAAATAATTATGTTTCTCTTATACCTAAAGGAATTGATATTAGGCTCAGTTATTTTATAACAAGTGTCTTAGTTTTTTAATTTTATTAATTTTTACATTACTCTCATGGTAATATAGAATCCTTAAATTATTTTAAATTTAATCTAATCTCACATATTTAGTATAAAATAATTATGTCTTCCTTATACCTAAAGGAATTGATATTAGGCTCAGTTATTTTACAACAAGTGTCTTAGTTTTTTAATTTTATTAATTTTTACATTACTCTCATGGTAATATAGAATCCTTAAATTATTTTAAATTTAATCTAATCTCACATATTTAGTATAATGTTACTAAACAATTATTTTATATTTAAATTTACTAAGATTTGAAAGCAAGAAAATTTGAAAAATTTTCATCTCCAGATTTATCTTCGAATTTCCATAATTTATCGAATCGTACATTCGTGGTATTAGCATAAGGGTAGGAACTTTCCGTTTGAAAATAAAATATTTTTGGATGCAATGTTGAGAAGATCGTGAAAAAAATTTGCAAACGTTTGCGTCACATATTCTTACCCAATTCCTCGCAATCTGACATTTAATCTTTTTTTCGAGTATTTCATACGAAGGTTGGTTTGTTTCTTGGCAGATTTACAGTTCACGTAAATCTAAAGGAAGAACCTCTGCATAGAAGCAAATATGTCAATACGTCCTATTAACATATAGTGGGAACGAAAAGTGTTTGCATGGTACTCATGTTTTTCAATTAGACGTTTCGTTGCATTTTTATTCTGCATTTCGTTCTCTCGACACAAATTCCCTGTATTCGAAATGAACTGTGTTTCTAGACAATGAAAAATTCAGTTAGATTTCATTTCGACCAATTTCTAATTTATATTTTCATTTCTATCGTTACAAGATCGCTGAATTGTCGAATTTCAGTTGAATATTTTTCAGACTTGTAACTGTGATAAAATGTAAAACTAGAAAAAATTGATTTCTTTCGGGATTAACCTTAAATATTGATGCACTGTCAACTAGAAAAGTCTACGCACATCGTATAAGTGTTGACTTTAGCGAGGCAAATATTTAGGCTTTATGAATCTCACTTGTAAATATGTTGAATAAATTCTTTCACATTTGGAGTCCGGAAACAAAGATTTTTTTACAATTCTTTTTGAGAAACTGGAACATCCATTAATGTGAAATTGAACATACTTTCCATAGTATTTTGTTCAATAATATTCACGTTGGATAATGTTTATCTGTTAAAAGCTTTAATATTTATTAAATCCCTTGATTGTAATATTATTGAAAACTGTTGAAATATACTCGCATACGAGATTTATGCAAATGGTAAATAATTTAATAATACAGAAAAATTAAAACATTGTATTATAAATAAATGCAAATATTTTTATACGATCGAACAATAATTCTAGCGCACTTTTGCACTGAAACTCTTGAAAACCAAAAGTTCTGCTTTTTTTTTTATTTCTCTGGTAATTTTCTTTATTTTAACATGAAACTTGAGCAGGTAGTTATGCTGCATATTATGAATATCAATACCAGTGGAGTGAAAAGGGTTAAATTCGGTTGCTAATTTAGATAATGCTTATTTAGGTTTGCTTCGCACTTAACCTAACCTAACCTAACCTCTTCAGGAGCAATTTTTTTAAAGTTAGAAAAAAATGATCTAATTTTCTACATAAATACATTTACTCCCTTATTGGCAGATTATATTTTTCATATTTTCTCTGTCACAAATATTACAATTTTCGGAAAAAAGAAAAAAAAAACAAAAACATGTGTCAGCTTCCCTGAAGAGGTTAAAGTGACTAAAATCATAGGCGTATCACACTTTTGCCACCGAGTGTACTCATCAGCAGACAAAACTCTCCAATTCCATACAGTTCAACTAATTTCCTGTTGTTGTTGTGTTGCAGGAGGACGCCGAGGGTTGCCAGAAGAGAGCTGAAAGATTGCTGTCGGAGGAGTGTCGCGTGTCCCACGGGTCTGTAGGCGTCGGCGTGGAAGGTGTCGGCGGGTGGAGGGCCCAACGGCGCCCCCACGAGATCGAGGTATCTACGCCCCTGACTTGCGTCGCGGCGCACGAGCTGGAGTCGTCCGTGGACGGCGCAGCGTTCAACCCCGTCGTCGCAGCGGCGACGACATCCTCGAGATGCTCGCTGGTGAAAAACGATCTGAAAACACCTTCATCCTCCTCCACTTCTCTCACCGTCAATGCTCACGTCAGGCCAAGGTTGTACCTGGGCTCTGTGATCGCTGAGACCAGCAAGGAGGATGCTATGGAGCCGGAAGTAAAGGAGGAGGACGAACGAAGGTCGTCCACGCCGAGCCCCGAGGTAATTATTCATTTTCTTCTCTCTGGATTTCTAATCTTCCTACAAATTCCTGTCGTTGTCTTTTTTTGTCAAAGTTTCTCCTTTGTTTGTTGTTTTTCTTCTTTTGGTTAATACGCGGTAGGATCTGTGATCGATAGGTTTACGAAACAATGACGAATGGATGACAATGAAATTGATCGGGCTAGACTGTGTACGATTTCTCCCTTTGTCCGGTCGCCGTTGCGTGGCTTTGTTTTTCGACGAGAAGTGACAGAGAACAGGTGAATACGTGCCCCACCGGGGGAATGCGGCTTTTCATTGCGACGGATGAGGGTTTCTATGTTTGTCAAAGCTACTTTAGACGGCGAAGGGCTTAAGGCTTTTTCGTGTAAAGTTTTGTTACATAGTACGTACCTCGGTGTTGGTTTATCGTTGTTCGTTGACGTTTCTCGTAGACCGGTGCATCGTGTAGATTTTGCACAGACAGAGACGAATTTGTAAGAGTGGTGGAGAGGAGGAAATTGGTCGTTCGCCGTGACACTTGATTTTGTCACGAAATGTCAAAATGTCAATCTCATTATCTCTTTCGCGGTGTAAAATAATATTGTTAGAGGGACATGATAATTTCGTTGGTGGAAGAAGTTCGTGCAACCTCTGAAAGCACAGTTTACAGCGCGTCTAGTGCAACGCGTATAACGAGCATGTAAATCAATTATCTGCTACGGGGAATATCCGATAGTGTGTAAACGAAAATGTGCGACGTACAAGAGATCGTCCATTAAGCGAGCGACAAAAAGCTGTCTGTTTGAACAAGTGTCACGCTCGAGATTGACAATCTGTTCGAAAGTTTCGAATTTAAGAACATTGTATACATTACACCGTAGAGCTGTCCTAGTAAAATAATTCATGACAATGATTCGAGTAACAATCGTTTGCTTGCATCCTTTACGTAACAAGTTGTCGTACAGAACCAGTTTTCGAAAAGATTCACACGATTTTCGAGAAGAATTCATACGTCGTGTTTTCTCTGTTTTTGTTTGAAATGCAATTGAGAAGTAAGAAACGGTTGGAAACCACTGGTATTGCCTCGTGCCTGCGGAGTGGTACGAGTCCTTTCTATATATACACTTCCACCAACGTAGCCGCGTATTGATTTTACGAAGAGCACGTTCTATCTTTCTCTAGAGCTCGGCTATATACGTTTACGCACACGACCATGCATTTCCTCTCTTCCTCGCTCTTCTTATCTATCTGCCTTTCTCTTTCGCCGCCCTTTAACTCTGCCTGCTGCCACCCTAAACATTTCCGCAAGAATTTATTTCGCTCGTTTTACGTGGCCTGTGCGAAAACGTAAAGGCGCACGGGACAGCGACGCCGATTACTTCGCGTCGGATGAATTGGAATTAACCTCGTGGAGGCTTCCGTTTTCCTTTCAGCGGGCAATTCGAATCGATTCGTCCCTTGCCTTTTTAGGGGAAATTTTCGAATCGTCAATGTTTCTTCGAGGATTTACGGATATTTTTAAACGAAATTGTATTTTTCTTTGTGGATATTGTTTTTCAACGGGAAATTCCAATCGATTCGTCTCTCTTCTTTTTGGGGGAAATTTTGACATTTTGAAAGTGGTTTGACGATTCGAGCATTTAGGGATATTTTTAAATGAAACTATGCTGTTAGTTAAGGATATTTTTTTAGCGGGAAATTCGAATCGATTAGTCTCTTCTCTTTTGGGGGAAATTTTGATATTGCGAAAGATTCTTCAAGCATTTAGGGATATTTCTAAACAGAATTAGAGTCTTCTTGAGGATATTCTTTTCAGCGGGAAATTTGAAACGATTTCTTTCTCTTTTTAGAGAAAATTTTGAGATTGTCAATTCTTCAAGCATTTAGGGATATTTTCAAAGGTCTTCGTTGAGGATATTTTTAAATAGTATTCTAATTGCAAATTTCAAGTGAAATTATAGTTTAAAATTTCAATGGGTTGAAAGGGATTTGTTCCACGAGGAATGAAATGTTTCTAATATTGTTAACGTTTTCCAGCACTCAAGTATACTTTCTTAATGGTGTTCACTTTGTGCATTTCGAGGTGACATTATGGTCTTAATTTAAGATTGCAAAGATTGAAAATCGTATATATGTACTGTAAGGAAGTAAAATGTTTTTCGAAGAAATTCAAGGGAGGGTAAAGTAAGCAAGGAATTCTGAAGTTGGTGGAAATGTTTCTCTAAAGGATTTGCAGAACTAGTTTAATTGAATAGAGGTTTGATGCCATTTAAAAGTGAAACAATGATAACGTATAAAATATTTCACTCTGTTTTTTAACGTTTTCGTGAAAATCCACCAATTTATCTAACTATACTCCATTTTACTTCGATTTATCATCACAACTGTATAGTTGTTTCTATAAATTTCTTAGCCCTTCAATTTTCTCTTTGAAAATTACCCAAACGACAGTGTTAACAATTCTCCCCATTGTAATTTGATTTAAGATTCACAAATTATATTTCAAAAGGCAGTAAAATACCTGGCAAGTGAGTTTATATAAAAATCAAAATTTGTTAAATTTTTAAACTTTGAAAACTGAAAATTTTGAAAATCTTTTGAACTTAGTTTGCAAGACTCCGTCAGACTAACTTAGGGTTAAACAATTGCACAGTATTTTTCAAAGAAAAATTCTTTAAAATGCTTCAAATTTGTCATTTGTAATAACGTCGAAATCGTGATTAACGTAATTATTTTATTGCGTTGCACAGATCTATACACGAAGAAATAAACGCTATAATGAGGGTGGAAGTAGCGAGGAGGATAACAGACCAGACACATCCCTGCAGGGTCACAGATTACCGTCTTGTTATCGAGGAACCTGGCCTATCAGAAGAGACGTATGGGCCAATCAACAAATGGGCTTTTCCGCTCAACAAAGCACATCAACCACTGTACATAACGTAAGTCACTTTTCCTTATGAATTATGCAACGTACAATCGGATTTTAATAAAAGTGGGGGCCATTTTTCTGTTTCGAACAGTTGATTGTAGTCTAACATTATTACATCGAAGAATACTATTCTATTGATAAATAATACAATTTTTTATTATAAAATCCTGAATTTTGTTCGTTGTTTCGTTGTTTACTTCGGTTAAAATCTTTCGACGAAAGATGCAGAAGAAAATAATTACGTTAAAATGAGGAGAATATATCAGAGTGTAGAACACATGTCATCGTGCCAATGTTACGAAATTGTGGGAACTTAATTTTTCAAGAAAGAAGAAAACTACCTTTGCGTCGATTTTCTGATATAAATGGAAAATTTATAATATACTTGGCATAATTGATGGACAAAATTAATCCAAAGGTGATTTTCTTTTTTTTCTGAAAAATTAAGTATTCCAAAATATTGACGAAAGTAAAGTATTTCAAGTATTCGTAAAATTAATCCAGAGATAATTTTACAGTAATTGTCAAAGTGGTTTTCTTCTCTTCTGAAAAATTCAGTTTTTACAAGTTTCGCAATTTTACGATTAGAACGGCGATATCGTAAGTTGAACGAGCTGAACGACGTTAATAAATACGTAACCTGTCATAAAGACGACGCTGAAAAGGGAGCAATGACCTACCAAAGAAGTTTGACTCATCGCGATAAGCATTAGCATTATTACACATGCGGTTTATAAAGCTAAACTCGTCACGAGTGATTGCATGAAACTCATTGTAGCTGGAATTTATCCACTTCATTTGTAAATATGCGTAATATTACGTGTTCATTGAATAAACCAGTATTTTCTGCTATATAAATTCTAACAAGCCTGCAAAATGAAGATATAAGAAAGTGATTAATTCATCTATAATCAACAATGCAAGATACTTTTCGCTAAACTACATGCTTTATTTAAAAAATCATTATTACTCATAAAATAACTGAAACTAGCAAATTTGCAGAAAAGATGAATATTTTTTCTCATAACGCATGCAAAGCAAAAATTAGTTTTCAAAGTTCCTCACAAAATTTACCCACTTTTCTGTTAACGCGTGCTGAGCCAAAATTGGCTTCCTAAGTTCCCTATGATAATAAACATTCGTCTATTTTAAATATTAATCCCAACGAACGATAACTTGCAAATCACACAAATTGCGTAAAAACAAATACAAAGAGGAAGATCGATATTCCCTCACGAGCAAAGCCTCCACACTAACATCCACCCTCTCCCACAGGACGTATCCAGCGTGATGAGCTTTTCCTCGAATTCGGGCGCGGCCCTCAGTTGTTCCTCGGAAATGCAAGGCGATCGAAGACTGGGAGCGAAAGTGGACGTTGTGTACAACCTATTGGGAATGCTGGGAAGGACAGAGGGTCGTGAGGACATGAGCGCAACCCTGCTCTCCATGAGCAATTCGATAGACAATTGCCTCATAATGAGGCAATCAGGATGTCTGCCGCTGCTGGTGCAGTTAATTCATGCCCCGGGACAGGATCCAGAAACCAGAGAAAGGGCGTCGCAGGCTCTGCACAATATCGTGTACGCGAAGAGCGACGAAAGGGCTGGACGTCGTGAAGCGAGGGTTCTCCGGTTCCTGGAACAGTTACGGGACTATTGTCAGGCATTGAGGACGTCGTTGGAAACGGGACAGGTTCCTGACGACCTGGAGAGGCATCCTGGACCGACCATAGCAGCACTGATGAAGCTCTCCTTCGACGAGGCTCATCGTCACGCCATGTGCCAGCTCGGTGGACTCCACGCAGTGGCAGAGCTGATCGAGATGGACCATATGGCTCATGGTAGCGAATGCGACGACCAGAATTGCATTACCTTACGAAGATACGCCGGAATGGCACTGACGAATCTCACGTTTGGGGATGGGAACAACAAAGCGTTGCTGTGCTCCTTCCGGGAATTCATGAAGGCCCTGGTCTCTCAGCTGAGGAGTCCAAGCGACGATCTCAGACAGGTCACAGCGTCCGTTCTGAGGAACTTGTCATGGAGAGCCGACACCAGTAGTAAACAGACGTTGAGGGAGGTCGGAGCGGTGACTGGTTTGATGAAGGCTGCGATGGAAGGCAGAAAAGAATCTACGCTCAAATCAATACTCTCCGCGCTTTGGAATCTGTCAGCACACTGTAGTACGAATAAAGTAGATATTTGCGCCGTGGACGGTGCGCTAGCGTTCCTCGTGGACATGCTGAGCTACAAAGCACCCTCCAAGACCTTAGCCATAGTCGAGAATGCTGGTGGTATTTTGAGAAATGTATCTAGCCACATCGCTGTTAGGGAAGACTACCGAGCTATTGTAAGAGAGAGAGGATGTTTGCAAGTGTTGTTGCAACAGCTGCGATCACCTAGCTTAACCGTTGTCAGCAACGCCTGTGGTGCACTGTGGAACCTCTCTGCCCGGTGTCCACAGGATCAGCGTTTGTTGTGGGACTTGGGAGCTGTTCCAATGCTCCGCAGTTTAATACACTCCAAGCACAAAATGATTTCGATGGGCTCGAGCGCTGCTTTGAAGAATCTGCTAAGCGCCAGGCCGGGCTGTAACAATCTGGTCCATTTAGACTCAACGGCGCGCGGATTAGGTTTGCCGACGCTACCAACTCTGGTCGCCCGTAGACAAAGAGCTCTGGAGCAAGAAATCGATCAAAACTTATCCGAGACATGTGATAACATCGAACCCAGTACATCTCCGACGAACAAAGACGACAAGTTCTCGTTCAAGGTAGACCACAGCTTCTTAGGGATGAACGCGCGCACTCTACGCTCCTATCAGCTGCACAATCAACCAAGCACGTCCAGCATGAAGTGCAACGGAGTTTCCAGAAGCGAGAGCAGAGACTCCATGCGCTCCATAACCAGCACACACTCGGACACAATGTTCGAACGGGTGAACCGTCACGTGTTGAACGGATTATCCCCAACTGAGATTCAGATGAAACAGCAATCCTCGTCGTTGCATTCTACGGTCGGTTTCGACAGTGGAATGTCCAGTGACAGTCACTCGAAGATCTCCTCGGAAAAGAAGTATACTTTGCGTTACAAAAACGCTATCCCGGATCGTTTGAAGTCGTCCGACACTTTTAACGGTTTGAGCAATCTCAGGTGCACTAATTCTACCATTTCGTGGTCCTCGGCTCCAGATCAAGAATCCGCCTGTTCACAGAACTTGCTGCATTCTTCCGTGGAGGATAACTTGCCGCAGGGCATCTCGTCTACGCTGAAGAGTGGCAGCCAGTCCAGCATCTCCGAGGAAACGGAACTGAATTTGTGCACGAAGACGGAATATTTGACCGTGAAATCTGCCATGGACGCATCGTCATCGTTGTCGTTCTTCAACAGCAGCTCTCCTGTGAAAGACAGCTATGGACACGTCTACGACAAGACTATACTGCACCAGCATAACTCGTTGAATACTATGCAAAAGACTATATCACCGATTGTCAGTCATCGGACAGAGGGGAATTTGTTCAGTGATTACGCTGAAACGGATCTGGATCAATTAACTGATTACAGTTTGCGTTACGGGGAACGAAATTTGGAGGACGAGGAGAAACAGCATTCTCATTATTACACGAACAACGATCAGGAGCTTATACACGAAGACACGGTGAAGACTTATTGTACAGAAGGAACACCGCATGGAACGTCTTTGAATTCTTCTAGAGCGGCGTCCGCTTCCGACTTGCAAGAGGACAGTCGACAGAGAAGCTTGTCGAAGAAGATTCAGGAGCAGGGCAAACTACAGGATACGGAGGAATTGAATTTAGAGTGTACGATAGACATTTCGGAGGAGAAGAGGAGAAGTCAGGCATTGCATTACTTTGAAGCTAATATCAAGGATGGGAATGTCGAGGAGAATGCTCACGCTTCTGTGAAAAATTCATTAAGGTTTGTATGTTTATGCTTCGTGATAAAACACAAGTTGGTAGAGTTAACTGTTCTAAATTGAAAATTATCACTTTCTAAAATATGTGTATGTATGAATGAAAACATTGTTAAAATAAAATGAAAGATTTTTGCAAAATAACATTCTCTAAGAATAACGTTTTAAGTATTTTTGTTTTATACATGTTCATTAAAATTTATTTATTACAAATGTGTCACACCTCAAGCCAATATCGTTTCGTTCGAGGATGTTGTCTGTAATGCATCAAATTCTTCCATTTTTGTTAACAGTTTGAGAACTGCTCTTACACAAGTATCTTCAAGCAACTTGCAGTACGATGAGAGTAATAATATAGCGTCCAATTCTTCAAAAAGTAAATCAGGTAAAATATTTTTCGTGAATAAATTCATTTTTAATATTACAAAAGAAATATGGCTCAACGAAAACTTCAAATATTTTTTAAACATATACCTACTTTATTATAGATGAGTAATTAGACGCGTGTTTATTTTTAATTATAGATATGGAAAAGAAATATGACTCTCAGAATGTCATGTTCGAAAAAAACGATAAATTTGATAAAAATTTCTCCACTAATGGTGTTAATTCGTACGTGACCAGTGCATTGAAGTCTTCTAACGATTCAGGATGTAAGGAAATTGAACTAAAAGGAGATACCCGTAACATGCCTTATACATTAAATATAAACACCTCTTCCGAATGTTTAGATCAAGTCAGTGATGGTGATGAGGACGATGAAGATCTGCTTACAGCTTGCATTAACATTGGAATGCAAAATAATAGGTGAATATTTAAACGTAATTTTTTCCCTTTATTTTAATCTATCTTTTACTCCATTATACGATGTACAATATGATACAAGTATTGATTACGAATAACATTTGCATTTCTTTTGTTTTCTTTCAGGCACAGGCATTCGTTTATAGGAAACAATTTCGATAAACTTCCACGAAATGAAAGCAATCTAGCCAGATATCAAACCAGCGTTGCACTAGATCAAATGGAGTGCAATTCATCGGTTGATTCTACCATGAACAGTCTTGATTCAAAACAATTAGGATCTGAAGAAATGATAGATCCTGATATGTGTAAAAATAAAATCAATGATTTACCAAACATGAATATTGCGTTAGATTATAGTCAGAATGCGGCCAAATTTATGCAAAAGGTAGAGTATCTACTTTATGCAGCTTTTCATCAGCAATCTTTAATTTCAAAAAGATTTGAAACATTTATTATCAGAGAATACTTATTCAAATTCAGACATGGAATTCCTCTGTTCTAGGTTGTAGAAACTAAAATCCCAGTAGAGCAATCGAATCAAATTCTGCGGAACGAACTGGATAAAATAAGAAACACGGAGCACAATTTAATATTAGGCGATGATCATTTGTGTAATTTTTCTTTGCCTTCGAACTTAAGGAATAGCCCAATATTGCAAGAAACAGTAGTGTTCAATTCAGAACCCAATCAGCAGCAATACTTATCTAGTATCGATACCCAGTCGAACGAAGACATGTCGTCTTTGATCCATAACGACCTCATTGAAAATGATCAAAATATAGATGATGATTCCGCTAAGTGGGAAAATGATAAATTGCCCGAAACATTAAACGACAAAGTTACCGAAAATTCGTCCATGCAACAATCTTACACAAAAGATTCAGAGAGCAGTGAATCGATAGATTCCGTGGAGCAATCCGAACACGCGCTTTTAGAACTGTGCCTACAACCTGGATTAACAAAAACTATGGACAACATTCAGTTAAAGAAAACCACAGTGAAATCTAATATAACAACCGAAGAGTTTGGAGAAAAACAAATTAGTACATCAGATGAAAGCAGTAAAATGTACGACACGTGTGAAGTAGATGGTATTGTGAAAGAAGAAGCTGACTCGAAGTACCAAACAAAACACGTGGGGACAGAAGAGGTATATCGGCGTCAAAGAGATCCGGACGCCATGATTGCCTCCTTGGATCGTTTGACTGCGACTTTGGTGCAACAAACGGAAGCAATTCGAGAACGAGACTCCAGCACGATGAAACAAAGTATACTGAGTGACACATGGAACTTAGCATCAGTGCTCCCATAATCGCTTCGTTTAAGAGTGACGTGCCGGAGGAACAGGTTACAGCTACTTCAGAATGTTACGAAACAGCCAGCATGGATAGTGGACACATGACGAACTCCAAAATCATTCAAAGAGAAGCCATCAAACTGGCCGAAGCGGTCGATGCGGAAATGAATAGGCAGAATGAATTAGACACGACTAGTATTACGTCTATGGACTTAGAAGCGATCAAACCTCCTTCCTCGATGGGAAGCTTATTGTCACTGACAGCTAGTTACGCGGGCTCCGGCGACTGCAGCGAGTCGTTCGTTAATCGAGACAGATGTAATTCCGCGTCTCTACCCCCGCTTCAGGTGAAGAACGTATCTTCGACAGATTCCAAAAGCTGTCGCAAGAAATCTCTTCCCCTAGGCGTTGTTGCCAAAAGAGCTCTAAGTCAAGCACAGAGTCACACTGGTAGTTTGGAAAATTTATTGAACGAGTGTACTGGTTCACATTTGGAAAGCGTGAAACCACCTTCGATGATGGACGAATTACCTGACGTTGGTGACATGGAAAACAGCATGTTGAGCGTGGCAAGCATCATGTCAGAAGTGGCAGATTCTAAAGATCACGATTCACATCATCTAAGCGGAAGCGATGCTGTGTTTGATTTATTAAAACCTGTCGCAAATGTGCTCTCAATAACCTGCATGCGTTACGCTGAAGCAATGCAGAATAGTGCAAACAACAGCTTGAGTGAATGCTTGGAGAATATTAATCCACCTTCGTTGTTCAACGAGGTTTGCGAAATGGACGAGTCAACGATGGAACAAGCCACAGAGACTATATGCAGTGACACGTTATGCATCGATGTAGACTTACACACCGAAGAAGCGCCACATCCAGTTTTAGTGGAGAAAATCGACGAGACAGGCAATGACACCGACGAGGCGGTTACGCCAATTTCATCGGAGTACTGTGTCAGTAGTTCAGCCGAGTCCACGCCAAGAAAACGATTGCACAGAAATCTAACGCCGAAACAGAAACGGACTTTGGCTAAGGAAAGGTATAAGACGTATACTATAGCTGCAGAAATGGACAAGAAGGAAGAAGGAGAGCAGCACGAAAATGGAAACATAGAAGAAGGTAAGATTCCACGCGGAAAGTGCTCGCCTTTTTCCAAACTGACACCTAAACAGCGTAGGCAGGAAGACAGAGCCAGGTTTCAGACGCAAGTGTTGGAAAATCCTTTCCCTGACCTGAACCAAGATCAGAGTGCCCAACAAGATGTCATCTGTGAACAGGATCAGTCTGAAAAACCAACGGGATCAGTGTCGCCAGTAAAATCTGCAATTCCTACATTGTCAAAACTGTCTGCCTGTAAAACATTAATTAAGAAGCGTGCAGAGCAGAAGAAGAACAGGGAAAGGTATCGTACGAGAACTTTGAACGATACTGAGAGTATACTTAAAGATACAGAAGGCAATGCTACTGCGAATATGGCGGAGGAAAGGATATCAGACACAACGCACAACATTCAGTCGGACGAAATTCAAACTATGTTAGAACAAAATGCAACGATCGTGTTGAATACGTTGAACGAATCAAACAAGGTAAATGAAAATGGAGAGGAAGGGTTGCTTGATTGTGAGACAATTAGTTTAGTATCTAACGAGTCAGAATCCGAAAGAAACCTTCGAATGCGATTTGTCAATGGTGTTTCCAAAAAATTAATAGGCGCCTGTGCTCAACAAATGGACAACGTACAAGAACCAGAGGATATTCATAAGGAGATAACCGAGATTGAAACACCTAGATCGCAAGAAGATATCAGGTATACCGACAACGTGGACACTGATAGTGAAGACGAATCAAATAACAACGAGGAGCCGCCCAGAGAGACAAAAAGGCCAAGAATAATTAAACCCGGTATGGTGAGGGATCTCAGCAATGATTCAAACGCTACAGACAGGTCTGATCCAGAAAGTCCAAAGGCTATTCGAGGCAGAAGAAAAGCTCTCTACTCGAATCCAATCACGCGCAAACCAACGCCTCAGTCGTCTCCATTGAAGCAAGTCAATCCTGTCAGCGGAATACCAATAGGTCGTAGCAATACTTCTCCTATTGTACGAGCTACCAGAGCCACTACGCTCAGACAGAATAATAATAGTCCAAGTGTAGCGACGAAAGAGTCTGCAAAATCGAATGCAAGCCCAAAAACAACTCCCGGCTCGTCGGATCAAAAACGAACAAGAACTCTATCGGTGGCCGCAAAAAGAGCATCGGTTCCTCAGAAAGGATCAACGTTAACATTCACAAAATCCGTGAAAAGACATAGCACACCTCCAACATGTTCTTCCTCAAACTACCAACAAGAGTCTAAATCAAATATGACGATGAAACCTCTGGAACGACAGGGTACGTTTACCAAAGACGAGCCGGAAGTGGAAAATGCACCCACTGTAGTCTCTACGTCTTCTTCACCGATAAAAACGAAGATCGCGAAACCCATTAAAGGTGCAACATCCAAGGTACATCCAACGACAGGGAAGCCAAAAATTTCACCAAAGACCTATCAAACGCATCAGTCGAAATCAACAAAAGGAAATTCTTCGGAGAAGATTCAAACTCCGAAAGCGTTGCCTTTATTGGTTGCCCCGAAACGATTACCAACAGGAAAAGCGAATGCAACGCCAAAAATATCAGCTATTAATCAAAACGCTGGACAAGCAGAAAACGGTAAAACCTTTCGAAAGGTAGGTCCTCTTGGACAAAGGTCCAACAGTAATTCCAGTATCGTGTCCAATTCGTCAACTGGAATGCAAACGAGAAAGTTGGCTAAAGAGGCTACTAGTAAAATCGCAAGCCTCTGGAAAAAGGTAGAAGAGAGTAAAAATAAGCAACGGTTCGAAAAACCAGATACTAGGCAATGGGTACAGCCTGGCAATTGTGCCAATGACGACGTGGATGCACCATCTTCAGTGAGTAATCCACCAGCTTTTAGACTGTTTCGTAGCTCGACGTTCGAAGGAGTGCCACAGGAAAATGATCATCCCGAATCAGCTTTGTATAAATCTAAATTGAAAAGGCCACTGGTGGTGGGTGTGCAACCTAGTAAAATGAAGTACAGAAACTCTTGTGACTTGAGCGGTATGAGCGCAAACGACGCCCCCTGCAAGATTCCCGTGAAATCTAGTGATGCTTCTGCATATAAGAGAGACACAGTAGATGTAGGAGGAGACACTTCGGTTATTCTACGGAAGCCACAGCACCCTGAGTCTTCCACAACAGAGGTGGATCCTACCAAACGAATATCACGCCTTGGTTCCTTCATAAGAGTAGACTCTGCAAATGCAGAAGGTTCTGCACAAACGCATGTCAATGGAGCTGGTGTACGTACACCCGCGTCTGCAATTGTACCGCCTTTTAATTACAACCCAAAACAAGAGACCCCTTTGCAGACAACCAAAGTAACGCCGGATGAAAGCGAAAGCAAATTCAGAGTGACAGATTGTCATAGTGACATAGTCACAGCTTCTACGAGAGTAACAACAGTATAGGGAGAGCCTGTTATAAAGTAAACAAAACTTTTTCGTAGTATGGCTTTTTTGTTTCAGGCTAGTCATTGTACATTTGCTTGACTGCGCTGTATTGATCGTAAATCAACACGCAGTATATACATTACGAGTACTCGATAAGTAAGTTAAAGGTTTTGTTTTTTTACCTCATCGTTTAAAAGGCACCGAAAATCATTATGGTATTTCGCTGATTTTTTACACATGAACATAGAAAGAAGAACGGTCACTCGAAAATATTTTTCTTCGTTGCATGTGCATCGCAATGCAATTTTTTTTCTCTATTTCTTTCTTTCTTTTTTTTTTTTTTTTTTGTTCTTAACAGGTACGAGTAAAGTGTGACATAGTAGTCGGAAATCCTGATATATCATTCCTATTCACTTTGCGTGTTGTATATACATTATATTGAGAAATTCCATGATTTCGAAGAAAATTAAAAAATCGTTAGTACGTAGTAGTAATTATGCTGGATTATTTATTCAATTTTGTATATATTGAACGTGGATGAAGAATGTAGAAAGTTTAGTAATATGTATTACGACTCATGATGTATATCGCAGAAAATATGTCGCTGTACATCTTCGTAATAGATAAATTCGCAAGGAAAAAGATCTGTATTTTGTTTCCATCGTAAACTGATTTGTATTCCTTTAACGAATACAAAGTCTAATTACTTTTAAAGACTGATAGAAACATGATGAAGATTCGGACAGAACTTGGACATCTTCAGCGCAACAGAATGTTATGATAAAAGCGGTAGTAATGTTTATATCGATGTAGCGGTCTAAGTAACCCTAAACTGGCATTACGTGAAGAGACAAAATTTTGTAAACCCTTACTTTAAGTTTCTAGTCTATTTGAAAATCTACAGTTGAAATAGCTTCTATTTTGGTCATATATGTATTACATAAAATCAATTTGCATGTAACAAGTGTCTACTGATTCGACTGTTACCCTTTCTAAAATACATGTAGGTACATTTAAGAGTGTGTACGGATCAATTATATATTTATAGGTCGGAAAGTTTAAGGTATTGGCATGGCGTTTATCAATTTTACTTTTGTATGTTCTCATTTGTTTATTTGTTTTTTTTTTTATAGCTTTATTGGAAAATTTGCTACATATTTGAAATGTTTAACAATGCGTACAATACTTTAAGTTTTCTTCTATATCGCGTCATCTTTCCTTCTACATGTGTCAGGTCGATCTAAAGTCTCATTAGAACGAAAAAGTTTGACACGATATAGAGTAGATTTTACTACTTATTATTTACACATATTTCTTACACGCGTTTTACCCTGTTCCAGTTCGAGTTAATTAAATTTAACCCTTCCAACTTGGAACCATATCAGGGTACTTTTATGTTTTCTTTCTCATGCAAGATTTGGTCTGTACACCAGGATTCCTGTTTGGAATTCTTTTGTAATTTCCACCTTTTACTTAGATCTTAAGTGTAATTCGTTTTTTATTATACTGTATTTTAGATTCGGCAGACATCTTAATAATTTGTATATTAATAATTGCAGTACAATAAAATTTATAGCTACTAATATCTATTTTGTTTAATATTTCAATCATAGTAAAGATGATTGATACAGCTGTTTTATTAAGACATCGTTAAAGAAAATAACGCTTCAAAACATGCAAAATATATATAAAAAGAAAAAAGGTAATAAATATACACATTTATTCATTCATCTTTGTAGAAAATTTTATTTATCATACAGTGGACATTCATAAAGATTGATAGATTTATCATCAGATACTGATGCAATTATGTTATTTCTTTGTGGATTGTATTTTACAGCCCATACCTGGAAAAACAAAGTATTTACATGTTTATAGATCATTCTATCATCTACGTTTTAAACATTTGTGATAAGTTATAGATTATTTTTTCCGCTTTGTAAATTTACAATAAAATTTCATAATGGTGTATATAATACAATGTCTCACCTGGTCATTATGTTCATTAAATGTATGTAAACATTGTCGTTGTGCTAATTCCCAGACTTTAACTGTATGATCTGAACTACTAGATACAAATTGTTGTCCATCTGGAGAAAAAGCAACACCAAGTACCCATGAAGCATGACCTGACATAGTTCCTGCTAAATTAGCATCTTTCCTATATGAAAAAATAAAAAGATGACTAATCATTTTACTGTATTTCTCATTTCTAGAATTTAAAAATGTGATTTGCTTACACATCATATAATTTCATATGCCCATCATCTGATGCAGTAAGAAGTAATTGAGAATCTGGTGAGAAACAAAGGGACCTGATAGGCATTGCATGACCTGAAAGATTTAAGTTTATTTACCATTAATGAATTCAAATTATAAAAAAACGTTTGTATAATTACCTTCCAATGTACGTAACACTTTTCCATAAGTAACATCAAAAATATTGATAATTCCATCTATTGCACCACTAGCAATATATTTACCATCAGGACTCTAAAGATGAGTTTGTTAAATAAGATAAAGAAATTTCTATCTGTTATTTTTGCATTAACCCTTGTATGGAAATTGGGTCAATTTGACCCAGAATCAAGTGACTAATTATTTTTCCTGTGTTATTAAATGTATCATTAGGATTGAAATTTTTTCATATCCTTAAATATCTAATAAACATTAATAATCTTTACAAAAAGGAACAAAATTTGCACGAATTTTTTAATAAAAACATATTTTTCATGCACAGTTATGGAATTTACGGGACAATTGGTCTAATATACAGGGAAAGGCACGTAAAGCGTGATAGGTGAATATTATGGACAGTTTGATGGAATTTGGTGATTGCGACTTTGATGATCTTTGTTATGCTTCTTCTGTTGGGTATTCTTTTGTAAGTTCATTTCGACTCTTCTAAAGACTGGTTCAACTGGTGAATATATTTTTGAGAAGTAGAAAAAGATTATGTAATAGAAACAGAAGTAGATAAAGAACGCATTAAATGAACGCATAGGAATAGAATGTGATAATTCTAGAGGTTATAAACCAAGAGACAACTCTATATTATGGTGTGCTCGTGCAATACCTCGAAGTAGCCGAATGTGAGAAAAAACATTTTATCATCTCGCTCAGGTCGGCAAAGTAAGCGACAATATTTGATATAATCGCAATATAATATGGTACAAGTTTAATAAATCATTAGAGTATTAAGCTATAATAATTAAATGAACTGAGTTTTATTTTTTTATACCCGTTTCGTGTAAATATGTGATATTCAATCAATTTGAACCAAATTTGCTTATTTGTGTAACTTTACAAACTCCATACAAGGGTTAAATAGATTTCATACAATATAAATTTTTAAAATACATACATATGCAACATTTAATGTAAATTTGCCACCTCTAGTATCTAATGTTTGTTCCTGTTTACCACTTTCTGTTCCATACAAATATATTTTACCAGAATGACTACCAGACACAATGAATTTATCATCTGGGGAAAATACTACTGTCCAAATATCCACTGGACCTACTTCGATGCTGGATAATTTTTCTCCAGTTTCCAAATCCCATAGTTTTAAACTAGAATCTAATGAACTTGATGCACATTCTAAAAATGTATAACATTTATTAGTAATATAACTGTGTCCTTTAAATTGGAGAATAATAGATACAAATGAATACAAATTTATTGTCTTTTACTAAGTACTTACTTGAGCCATCTGAACTTACAGCAACAGACACAACACCAAGTGAATGACCAGTTAGTTGATGTTTTAATTGTAAACTTTTATCTTTTTGTTGCCAAACTTTAACAGTATCATCAACTGACCCAGTTACTAAGTATTCTAATATTTCTTCATCATTAGATTGCACAGAATCACTGTTGCATAATATAAAAAAATTGTAGAAACGTGTACTATGCGTTGCTGAGAAGATGACGAGCGGAAGGAATGCGGGTATCATTGATTGTAGCGGACACACTCATAAAGTCAGAGCAAACGGTCACGTCTGCTAATCCATCGCGTGACGGTGAGCGTCAAGGGTTGAGCGAACTCACCTTTTACTCCCCTTGCCCCTGTGCCGTCCCACTCGTCATTTTGGATAATGTATAATGAGAGTTATGTGTTCTAAAATAATTACCGCGAATCTTCATTATATGGCTGTGATTCCTTTTTCTTCTTAAAACAGCCCCAAGCACAGGTCCAAATGCTATCTTCATGAGCATTTTCTGTTTTATTAAGTAACGAATACTGAAAAAATTTCAAACACGGTTTATAACCCGTGACTCTCGTGATTATAACCCGTATAACCTTTATGTCTGAATAATTTGCAATTTATATATGTTTCTCACCATTTTAAGTAATGTGCATTATCTTCAAAAAGATTCGTATGTACATGTAACTGAGAACAATTTTGCTTCCATATAAAATATAGCAAATATATTTTTTAAACTATGTACACTCATTCATGCGTGGATGGTAATTGTATACTGGAAAGTTGACTGCATGTGTTACTATAGGTGACTACATTCACCGAAATCAAGTGTGTTTATATCGAGCTGCTCCGAAAATTTTAGAAGATATATAAAGTATTTTATAACGTATAGAGAGAAATTCCAGAATGTTAACATTAGAGTTTAATTTTACTATTACAATTTAAAGTAACGATAGCTTTTTCGAAATATTACATTATATTATAATCAATTAACTTGTTCTAACCTGTCGTGATTCATGTAAATAAAAGGGACATTAAAAACTATCTTTATAGGGATATGATCCAGTGACAAAAAGTACAACACAAAATGTTGAAAATATTTAAACATAGCAGTAAAGCGTATCACGGATTCCGACAAACGGTGGTACAAAAACGATCTTTCTTATCGGAAGCATATCGGTGTGAAGAAGCATGGAAAGCTCGACTTCAGTCTCCATTGTTACAAAAATTTAAGCCAGAGGACTTATTTGTAACCTTGGACCATAAATATAATACTGCTGGAAAAGTTAGTGCAGTTGATATTGACATATTTGCAAATAGTGTAGAAGGAAAACATCAGGTAGAAGAATTAATGATTTTACTTCAAAATCTGAGACGAAGTGCAGAAGCAGCAAATATATTAGACTCAACACATCATGCTGTCATAAGATATTTGTTAGATAATGATTGTATGGATGAACTTATGAATGTGCTATATAACAGACTTAACTTTGGTATTTTTCCTGATCATTTGAGTTACAATATACTTATGGACACATACCTAAAAAGGAAAGATTATGCCAGTGCTGCAAAAGTTGCTGCTTTATCTATGCTCCAAGAAGATCAAGAGAATCCAATAACTAATGCATTATCCATATATGCTTGTCATAAATACTTAGAAAACCCTGATACGTGGCAAAAACCACCAGAGCCAATAGAAAATTCTAAAGAGGAGATCAGAGTACGTGTAGCTTATCTTAGAAATCCTTATTTTGATGACCATTTTGATCTTACAGATCCATATGATTTAGTGGGAAAAACATTAGCTTTTCAAGGAAAAGCTATGAATGATACATTAGGAAGGACTTGTCAATTAAGAGGTTTAATACTATACAAAAAATATCAAGATGCATCAAAATTAATAAAACAATGGTTAACTGAAGTTAAAGGAGATATTGTTTATAATGAAATATTTAATTTGATTGAGAAAGATAATAAAAACATGTACAAAGAAGAAGCACCAAATGAATTTAAACAATTAATGTCAGAAGTCAATGAATTAAAACAGAAGGATTCATGTAAGGATAGTTTAATTGAAGCACTTGAAAATAATGTTAAGTGTGCAGTTGATAAGCAACATGATGTAGATATAAATGAACAGTTACAGGTAATCAAATAATGA